GAATAGCGCTAATGCATCTTTATTCAAGCTTTAAGGTCTGCAGAAACAAGCTCGGGCTTAAATACACCCTCCCGTTCCTGGACATGCTAATGCACGAAAAAGGTTATACACCATTCTAAAGTGTTAACATTTAATTATAATGTTTTGGAAGCTAAATTAATACAAATGTCTTGCATTGATATAACATTAATGCCCTAAATATAATGACCCACAGGTTGTTTCCTTTACGTTTCAGGGAAGAGTAAGAGCAACGAACATTACTATTTTTGCTACAACGCAAATCGAAATACTACTGAATTTGCTAGAGAAAATGTTACTTTAATTCGATTTAAAGAAATCTGCATAGTACAATGGTATGGAGGCTATTCGTTGCCAAAATTCTAGCCTTGTTGATCTGAGTTGAACAGTTTGTTTAAGGACAAAATACAATTGTATTTCTTTGTATGTAAACTCCAATGTTGCAATCTTGGATTGAGTGTGCCGATTTAACACTGTAAACATGTATTTCAACAAAATGCATTTTGTTAAACGACAAAACATTAACTGTTTCTCTGATAGTAGCAATACCAACTGTTCATCCTAACATGCGGAATACTCATTGTTCGTGTATAGGCCGACATTCCTTAGTTTTACATTGTCAAACCATCAGCATTATCCAGTGTACACCAATTTTTCAATAGGAGATAAAATAAACTCCGCCCATTTTCCCGCCTACTACATTATCGTACAAAAACGTAATTATTCGCTCATTTTCGGTATTTACCGTCAGCGACAAGAAGGAAACAAGAACACGCACCGGCGTAGTTTCCGTTTACCGCACTTTTTAGGTGTTTATTTATCCACCAAACATAATTTACTTGCATGATGCTATTCTATGCCATTGTTCAATCATTATCAGCGGACTTTAAATGATTATAGGCATATAAGCATTGAAACGTTGTAGATACCACATTTCCTAGAAAAAGAAACTAAAAAAATACTAACCATGTTACTTACTGTCCGAGGTTAAATATTGTTCAAGGAAGTAAAATTATTAATAAGATTATGTTCAACGACACATAGATTTTACTAAGGGGAGTAACATTGACAGTTATGGACGTTTTCGGGGGTTTTCATATAGACATATTGTTAGAATATGATAACAGAAACAGGGAAAAAATTGGGATCACCGTTCTCGTTAAAGCTCGCCAAGATACACTTCCTCGCTCACCGGATAAACCTTCTCCATCCCGACATCAACAATGTATTCTCTATCTCAACATTTTCGGCATACTTTCTTTAGGGATTCTTATTTTCTCTATTTTAAACACTGCGCAATGACCTTGTGATGAAATTTCCTACAATTTGAATATCGAGTTTTATTGATTTTCTTCGATAGACTGCGCCAGATTGCGCCCCCGGAAAATTTCGTCGAAAAACGTATGGTTGCGGTCTCAGACTTTGTTTTGGCGACGTTTGGCCTCGTCGGTTACAGCTACATCTTACTGTCATTTTATTTGATATTTTTCACGTATTCGCTGTTTCTTGTCATTGTTAACGAATTTTTCAATAGCAGTATCTGAAATCCAAATTACGATTCGATTCCTTGGCTTGACTTTTGGTTATTCAAATGGAATTTTTCATATTCGTGAATGACTTTTTTCTCAGGACTAAAATCGAATTTTGGTTGAATAATGTCATTTGTCTTCGCATTACTTTGTGAGAATTCAACAGATTTCAACTTACTGTCAGCTTCCTTTCCCACTGTATAAAGCAGCAAGTGACATGTATTTCTACATTTTCTCAAAAACTTTTAATGTTTTTCTTATAGAAAGAATATCGGTGTTTCCATTAACCCCATTTAGTTTGGCTTAAAAACGTATTGTGGTTGTTGTACACCATTTCGCTGTATTTAAAAAAAATTGCGTTAGTTCTTTACAATTTCATGTAATCCAGCTAGTCATTGTGCTATTTATATAGTAAATTAAATCAAACGTGTTTATTTATTTGCAATTGATTGTAAGTCCTATTTTTACAATTCAAATTCCTTTCATAGTTTACAACTTAATGTAAGCCAATATTTTATTTCTTTAATTTCTTACTGATGTATATTTGCTTCATTGCTTTATTTCTGATATTATATGAAATTTTCTGACAGTTATCACCAGGACACCATTGAATATACATATCTTCTATTATAACTATTAACACATAATGTTGCGAACATTTTCAATGGGTGGCTCGATTTACTGTCCAACGCTCTCACTGATTCTCATAAGAATTGCGAAATTGACAGATCAAAAGTCGAAAAAATCGATCTCCTTAATAGGGCCTATTTTTGAAGATTTCGTAAAGTAGAACCCTTAAATGAGACAATTGTGAAATTTTTTGAACATCAACCAAATACTTTGCGAGTACTACTCTCTGAAAGAAGCAACCCTAGTTGTAAAATGTATCCTATTGTAATGTACGCTACTACCAGTTTATTAATTAACATTCCGAATTTCATAAGAAATATTAAACATATCCACTTCAGAGAACTTTCTTTTTGCCATATATTCATTACATTTATAAAATAACAAAATATTTCACTATGAAACGCTTGAAATATTTTTTTCTTGAGCTTGCAAAGTTATCGCAATAAAACGCAATTCTACAAAAGTACGTTTATTTAAAATGTGGAATTTTTGATGATTGATTTCAATTGTATGATTCCATTTATTTGTTCTTATGTTTTGTTTAAACCTTACTTCAATAATGATAACGTGACGAAAAAAAACTTTGCAAACAAAATACATGACTAAAGTTTTGAGTCTTTTTGACAGAACATCAATTGTCTCGGACATTACGTAATCCAGTAAAAATATTCGTTGTGGGTAATAGTAATAGTTATTATTATTATTATTATCATTTTTTATACAATCATTTTTTAAGTTTAAACTTTTTAAACTTAATATTATTAAGTGTGTTCATTTAAGCTTGAGTTAATAGCATGAGTAAATAATATTGTACAAACGAATTTAATTACGAGTATAACTATGTATCCGGCATACATAAGAAGTTACATACCTGTCCTTATGTCAATGTCATAAAACATATTTACTGAGATCGTGGGCATATATGCAGCGTACAGAATAACAATACATATATTACAATTCATGCCTTTGATATTATTAATGCTACATCAAATTTTAAGATTTGAACAGAACATTTCAAAAAGGGCACCTTACTAGCCAATATTGAGATAAAATGTATTTTAATTGTTAATTATTATGTGCTTCCTACGTACTTTAAAATATTTCAATTACAAAGAGCCAACATTGTCTTTTCCTCTTCTACACTTGTAAGTGTGATTGCTACTTATTTCTAATACAGATTTAACCATATTATGACTGTAGAGATGAAGAAAATTTTCAAGATCTGCGTGTAATGTTCGATACTAATATTGTAATGTTTGATACATCGTTGTTATATGTTGTAGACGCTATCATGTGTATAATATTGTACATGATATATTTTAAACATGTCAGCAACTATGTTAATAGTATCTGATAATATTTTCATTTATTATATGTATGTTTATAATAGTAGTTTTTTCACTAGCGCGGTGAAACGTTATTGGGGTTTGAAACTGATTTAGATGATAATCAACAAAATTGCCTCATATATATTTACGCATTTAAATTACAAACACCTATTTACTTTATTTAAACAATATATAATTATGGAATATTTCCTCAAAACAAAAGCAAAATCGCTGAAAACATTAACAAATGTATAGATTGCCATCAGAATAATTCAGTAATGTTCGATACGAAATGTAGTGAACATTACAATACCTATTATGAAAGGCATATCACTTATAATCTATATCTAAACAATTTCAGTAAGAAAACCTTGCAGACAGGTTCTGGCTTTGGAAGAAAATAAATATTAAACGTATTACATCTTTGTTTTTGTTGTTACTAGAATCTGATATTCAGTTCATAGATTCTAAAGCCTTACTTATACAAAATTAAGAAAATTTGATTATAACTGTAAAAATACAAAGGATGCATACATTTATGCTGCATCTATGATTAAGTATAACACAAAAATGACTAGTTTAAGTCCTGGTTAGTTGAAAATTAAGTATACTAAAGTCATGTTACATTTTTATTGTATTGAACATTACAGTCGCATACATTACAGACATATGTGTATATAAATATATTAAAAGATTCGTGGGCACAATTCTTTAAGATTTGGTTATTATATATCCCTCGAAATGTAAATCATTCATTAAAAATTCCTTATTTGGGAAATAGTGCATAGAACGTACAAATTTTTAAGTAGCGAACATTACATGCTGAAGTCATCATCTGGCACAGGCTGTCAAAGTAATAGAATCTTGGTTAATTCTTAGAATTTATCATAAGAAAGATAAGTCTGGCTATAGTAGCATAAGTATTTAATTGTAAATAAACATATAAACGACTTAGATTACTAAGTTATTTTCAGTTATGTGCGGCACTTAATTTACAAGTCGCGTACATTACCGATGCCAGTAAATTTTGGCGACAGTTCTAAAACATTCGACATATGACAAAGATCAGCCTTTTCAAGTGGGTCAAGCTTCGAAAACAGATAAGAGGACATACATACTCCTGCACAAATTAATTTTTTGCCGGAATTGTATAGGTTTTTGGGGTTACACTAGCTCAAATACGAATAATCCAAAATGGTGACAGTCTCGAACATTACATTTCCAATAGCTTCCCTCATAAAATTTTGGTATCGAATGTGTTATCAATGAAGTCTATGGATAAAATAAAAACAATCCATTATATACTTTTTGCACGTTAGCTATCAAAAAGCAAGTGTTTCTTAATCGATTATGTTCAGAGTGTGCAGCGACATCAATTTCACAATTCGCGTGAGAATAAGTGTCTACTTACTGGGTTAACCGGCCTGTTAACTAAAATAAGATGTCTCGTTTTAAAGACGTATCGCATAATTTGCCTTGTAATACATTATTTCAGCAAACATGAGTGTGTCTAAATCAGTTGTAGAAGAAATTGAGGAAAAGTTAAGTGAAGAAGCAGGAATAAACAAGAAATTGATTCGTCTGTACAAAGCGAAAGAAAATAAGGCAAACGTTGATGAGTTTCATAGAAAATGCGATGCAAAAGGTCCTACAGTCACAATCTTGTATGGCGTTTACAATACAACCTTTGGCGGCTATACTTCTAAAGATTGGAGTTCACCTGCGAAAAAACGGACAATACAAGACGATAAGGCTTTCCTTTTTACAAAGAATGACAGCGCAGATGCAAAATGTGTCATTTTTCCAATTAAGAGAGACAAGAAGGATGTAGCGATAACATGCTATGCAAAATACGGTCCTGCATTTGGAGGAGGAACATTTGGAGATTACGATCTTCTAACATTTAAAAATAAGACTGCCTCAGAGGTTACAGGTGATGATCTATATTTGAATGGTTCGATGCATATTAACAACGCCTATGAGAGCCGTGCAAAAGATTCTTCTCTACCAAAAACAAAAACTGTTGATATTAATTCTGGGAAGATGATTGTGAAAGAGCTAGAAGTTTACCAAGTAACAGGTAAGTAAGTATTCATGTCTCCCCTTTGTGATATTTTACCTGTATATTCAACAATAATAATAAATTATATCCAACATTTGGTTATTTTTATATGCAATAATTGAATATTTCATTTTTGTTTATAAATTTTCATAATGGCATTTACTTTGTTAAAATCTTTGACAATTATTTATTTCAATTAGCTTATTTTGACTTCAAACAAGTCACGCGAATAACCATCTATGCATTTGACTATAAAGATGGGATGCTTTTTTATTTAAGCTATAAACTACATACCCGGTAATTTTTATAATAAAACTAATAGCATTTCTTTTTTATTAGAAATTGCCGATTTTGATATATAGTATGAAAGATCAGTTATATTATATTAATTAGGGATAGTTAAACTTCATCTTGGCTTTAATAAATATCGTTCAATTATCTGTTGTTATGACACTATGAAACGGAAATTCTCACTACTATGTCATTTCAGATAATAACTGATCATTGAGAACATTTCCATAGCTCAGTCTTAGAATAATGATGTTGGCGTCACACTTTGTTTAAGTTCGAATAGAACTCTAGGTCACTATAACACTCGTAGTTCCAACATAGATCCTGAATGAAGAAAAATCTCTTATGATTAAAAAAGATCATTGGCATCAAATGTTTTTCGTACAATATTTACCTTAAAGTCAGGAATCGTAATTAAAACTTTTTGTAAAATTTTCCAGTTTTTGTAGATAAACATTATACCCTTTGTATTGCAAAGTTATACTTGTATTCAGCTATCGGGTTTCAAACAAGTATCCAAAATTTCTGGCATTTATTTAAAGGCTAATACATGTCAATATAACATAATGGTAGTCAAATATCATTCCGCTAGTAAACACGATTTTACGGTGAGCTTTCCAAACTTGAATTACTGCATTTCCAGGCTTTTTTTATACTAAAAACACAAGAGCGCTGTCCGACGGAAATGTCTATGTAAAAGACCTATTCAAAGGCTCTCTAACATTTGAACCTAAACGGAAAATCACAAATAACTAATTCAGTGTATTATCAATGCACTTTTTTATTTCTTCAGATGATGTAACTAAAGAAAAATGGTTAGAACAAACGAAGGTATACCAATTTGAATGCATATTTGATAGTGCAATGATTGTGCATTTAATAATTGCTTAGCAGGAAAACTTTAGGAATTAAAATACATAGATTATCAAAGAGAAATGATTATGTATGAAAATTCCCAAATTGTAATTATATCAACATTAGTTTTGGTCATTCTAACATGCCCAAACTATCAACTCTTTTAATATGCATATGTTAGAAAAGTCAAAAATATTAAAGCAAGTAGTTCAAGTAATATAAAATTCAATGAACTCAAATATCAGCCAAAATTTTAAAAATTACATTTTCTCTTTCTCTCTTAGATTAAGTATTTTGGATTCTTTTTTTTCTAATCAGTTTTTAGATTGGCTCGTCTATTCTTAGTTTCAACGTCATTAATAAGTTCCATTTCTCTGATATTGGGATAGTTATTGTTCTTATTTGAACTTTTTGTTTTTCAAAATTAAGCTAAAAAAATAATAAAACATTGAATCGCTATCAAAATAAAAAGGTAAAATGTTCGAAAATCGGCATTGTTTATATTCTTCTGCGTTTAATAATAGGTTTAAACAATACATTTCAAACACGAAATTGTATGTTGCATACCTTGTCAAAGACACATGTTTTCACTCTTTGATTTTAAAAACATGGATTGAAAATATGGATTTAAATTTTTTGAATAACATTGTTTAATATAGTTGATGGCAAACCAATACACTAGCACTTTTGCTTTTTATAAATGACCGACATATTTATGCGAGTCTTTTCGTTATATAAGTCATAGTTGTCCTTTGAATTTGGTTATAACGTGTAAAAAATTCAGAAATGAAAATAACGATATTTCTCTGAAACTACAAAATGTGTTATAAAAATAGATTTGTTTGTTTTGAAAATGGCTTAGCTCGTCAAATATTATAAACAAATTACTAGTTGAAATAAACCGCATATGGTTAAAATTGTATATTAGCATACGGCAAGCCATTTTCTTCGCACTGTTAGTTTTTCTAGAAGGCAGGTAATATATTAATGGGGAATATATGCAAATATTTAAATTCAAGGTACTAAGTAGTAAACACAAACTATTGCTAAGTAGATGAAGTTTTTTTTTATTTATTGCACTGACAATTGTTTTGTGTGTTTCTTTGCGATTCGTGATGCAGTGAATACTTGATTTTGTGATCGAATATTATGTTTACACTGAAAAAGCCATTGATTTTTTCTTGTTAAAGGACTGAATAATTTTAGATTTTAACATTGAATAGTAATCATTACAACGCATAAAATATATGTCAAATTGTATTTAAGAAAGACGATATTGACACGAAGAAAGATGCACTGATATCAATGGAAACATTACCCGGTTTGGATATAGATCATTACAATATTTTGTTCGTAGGCGCTATAGCATCTGGGAAATCTAGTTTTATCAATACTTTATCAGCAGTGTTTACTGGACAGTTTGTCCCGATTGCTCAAGCCGGACAAACACCAGAGAGCTACACCAGGAAGGTTTGTAAATAAATTTCTGTAATAAGATATTACTGGAAAATTCACAAATAGATCTATATAAGCTATATAAGATTAAGGAGTGAAATATTCAATAATTCGATATAATAGAGACATTTCTAAAGATCTGATGTTTGTAATTGTATTTCTACCCTTGTGACAATATGGTTAAGTTTACATATGAGCGTCATCAGAAAATAACTTTAATGGAAAACTGCTACTTCTTGTTACTTCAATTCAGGTAACGAAATTTATCATTCAACCAAAGACGAATGAAAGATTGAATTTATTCATTTATGACATGCCCGGATTTGAGCACGAAAGAGGACTTGCAGAAGAGCTTAAACTTATATTAGAAGGAAGATTACCTGAAGACTATCAAGTAAATGAAACATTATAAATGATTCCGTATTAATTTTTTGCCTGAACAAACCTTGACGTGCATCAAATATTTTTGTTAGCATCTCTTCTCGGGAAATACAATTTTTTATCAAAAAAATCAAACAAAAACATATGCATTTTTGCTAGGTTTTCAAACATTTTTCAAATTATCTTTTAAAAAACTTTAAATCATCTTAAAGTTAAGATCGTACAATTCGGAACTCAAATTTGGTCACAATTTATTTGTTTATTTCATTTATCATTTTAATGCTCCCTGAGCAAAGAAAATACAATTACCGCCTTTTCAGCCCGCCACTACACTGATATTTACACACGATACTTCAATACCGATATCTTATTGAACATTACTGACCGAGCGAGTTACACTCGGTTTTATAAATATTAAGTAACATAAAAAACACTTGGATCAGTAGATGGTGAGTAATTTAGGCCAAATAGAATAGGTTGAAATCAGAGCCGTCATTAAGTAACTCTGTAAGAAAGGGATATCCCCAAGGAAATCCATGCGGACTTGGTGGATATACTTGGGAAGGAGTTCCCTTCCTATAGCAGTGTAAAAAAATGGGCTACTGAATTTAAGAGGAGCACGGAGAGCATTGGAGATGGTAAGTGGCATGTGCGGCCATAAGAACACCAACGATGAAACTGCCGAAGTTGTGCACGATCTTGTCATGTGCGACAGAAGGCGAGACCTGCGAAGCATTGCTAGGAAAGTTGATATAAGCTTTGGGTTCAGGCAATTCTGTCTGATGTCTATGGCATGCCAAAGGTGTCCGCTAGATGTGTCCCCAAACAGTTGACTGACCACCAGAAACGGAACAGGTTTGGCATTCAAGATATCTTTTGTCTCGCTACGAGGATAAACTTGCTTTTATCTACCGGATCGTAATTCAGGATAAAACATGGGTTCATCAATTCGATCCAGAATGCAAAAAAGAGCATGCATTGGAAGCACCCTAGCTCACCCCTTCCGAAGAAATTTAAGAGGGTGCCATCAGCAAGGAAGATGATGGCTTCAATTTGTTGGGATGGTCAGGGGAAAATCATGATTGACTATATTGAGCAAGGTCGTGCCATAAACGGTACGTACCATGCAGACGAATTGAGACGTCTGCGTCAAGAAGTCGCGCGTTAAATAAGGGGAAAACTGACTCAATGCGTTCTGCTCCTACACGACAATGCGCCAGCTCACACATCCCAAGTTACGATGGCTGCTGCAAGCGACTGCGGCTTTGAAATCCTTCTCCATCCCCCATATTCTCCGGACTTGGCCCGTCTAATTTATACCTTTTTCCGAAACGTGGTAGACGTTTTGAAAGCAATGAAGGTGTCATAGACGCGGTCAATGAGTTCTTTGAGGACCAAAATAGAGAGTTCTATTTTGAAGGGTTAAACAAGTTCGAGCACAGGTGGGCAAAGTGCATTGACGTAGATGGCGATTATGTTGAAAAGTATGACCATTAGTTAAGTTTTTCTGACTACCGGAAGAACTTCCGGCCGAGAACGTTTTGATCAATCTTCGTAGATATCATATTGAGACTTAACACTGTAATATTAACCAATGAAAGGATGTGCAGTATAAACAAACCATAACTCAACATTTTTAAGATTTTGTTAAAATGTAATATTCTTTTCCATAGAATATCTTGAAAAGTGTTTAAACATAACACAGTGATAGCGACTATTGGCCAAAGTGTGAAATAAGTATATATAAACATTTATATAATGATTAATAATATTTTGTTCTAGAGCACTTCATTATCATTCATCTTTAAAAATATTTGTAATATAGGATCATGTATCTCACACTTGCAACGGCAACAACCAAATATAATCCATTTAGCGGCTTGTTTTTTTTATATCTGATAATGAATACTCTCAACGTAAATTATTATAATGTAATTAACACATTACCCGATATACACGCCTTTTAACGCCTTTTTCATCCCCCTTTTTGTTATGACAAAGAGTTAAAATATGCCTTATTAAGCCCCAACACTTGTTTTTGTCTGAGAAATGTTGTTTAAAAAAGTGACCACTTTTAAAAAAGATACATCAGGGCGTTGCCAGAAGGGGGGTGTGCCCCCCTTTTGTTTGGGAGGTTTGAATGGGGTAGCAGTCCCCCTCATCGCCAAGAAAAATTTGGACTTGTGAGAGGCTAAAAAAAGCCCCAGGTCGATTATAAGGTAACGTGTAACCAACGCTGAAAAGCCTTTGACTTTATCTCAATCCATTGAGAAATTGCAGCACTTTGAAATCAATTTTGACGGAAAAAGCAACGCAAAATATTGATTTTTGGAAATTTGTAGATGCCATGGTAACAGGAAATTTAAGACGGAGCATGTCGTTACAAAGGCAATGGTCCAGTCAACATTTGTGCCATGTTTGATTAGTATTGAAGAAGTTTGTATAGTTTTATAGCAATTTGAACTTGTAACATGAGACCTTTTAATAAAAACAGCCATTTTTCACAAAATGCTCATGCAGTAATCGGTTAATAAATAATGTAATAATTGTAAACAGACCTGCCATAATAGCCCAATTCATTCTTTTTTTAATTAATTTCCTTAATGGTTATTAAAAATGTTAAAAAATGATTGTCGGGAGTCTACACTTACAAATATATCATATTAAATTTCACTAGGTGAGAGGAAGTACATTGTTAGGGGTTATAACTCTACGATTATCATACATTTTTAATTATTTTCCTTAATATTTTCCTTAAACGATATGATGATTTGTTTTTGGCAAATTATTATAAATTTATATCTCATTGAATTTTCACGTGCAATGTTAAGGAACCATAATACTACACTATTTATGTTTAAATGATTACCTTAAATTTGATATTATCTTCATCATAGTATGTGTGTATTTACTAGATCTTTATTTAATTTCATTTATTTAGTTTCAAGACAAGACGAAGCTTAACAAAATAGCGCTAAAGACGAATGCAACATTGAATGACCGTATTCACTCAGTGTGTATGGTAGTAGCAGGTGATACACGTTTCGAAGATTTTTCTAAAGAACAGTTAAAAAACATTGGTGACATACGAAATACAATTGCAGAGTCGGGTATGTTAACTAAGGTCTTGACAATGAGCTGTTTTAAATAATAAAAATAGTTTCATATGATCACATTGTCATGTCATTTAATGTGCTAAAACTTCAAGAATTTGTGTTTATTGAAAAAAACAACAACAACAAAACAAATTTTATATGTAAATGATTAGTTTTTAATCTGCAGTAATCATATTCATTTCAGGTTTACCAATGGTGGTTGTTGCAACTAAGTTTGACAAGCTATGTCCAAATATATTGAAAGATTTTGAGCATTTATTTCAATGCCCGGCAGCTAAAGAAACAGTTACAAACATTGCTGCATTCTTCGGGGTTCCTGAGAAGGATGTGTTTCCAATTATGAACTATCTCGAAGAAAAACAGAAGGATGATGTGAAAGAACTTTTAGCTGTAAATGCATTTCATTGGATATTTGAAATGGTTGAAAGCTACCTTCGGCACCATAAAGGTTAACAATTCATTTTTATCGTATACTACAAACATTAGCATCACACTGTGAGTAAATTTCTGACCTTAACAGATTTAGGCTTGGTTGAAGTCTAAAAGCAGATTTTTACACACAATTTTATCTCATCTTAAGACTTTGATGTATCAAGAAAAACTTATATCTTTGCATCAGAAAGGTTTTTTAGACTGTCGAATACAAAACGCATATATTATCTTTATTTTAACACAATGCTATTTTTGATGTCAAGTTTGCACAGATTACGTTTCTAATGTATAAACGATTGCCCAATCTACGACTGGGTGCTTTTGGCATCATATAATGCCTATATACTGGAAAGGAAATTTTCTTTAACTCATAAGTTCAAGTGTTGTATTTTTATATCTAAGATCTGAAGGTTGCACCTGACGACTGGTCTGAGCGAGAAACACTTTTACCAAAATTGGTAAGCCCTCCAGTTTAAAATATATTTCTTGTAAAATAAACAGACTTGGTTAAGATAACAGTTTTAAACACAGTGAAACGAAACACGGACACTAATAAAGTTTAACTTATATATGAAATAATTCTCGTGGTTATTAGTTTCATTAGAGATAATATTTTCTTGGAGATTTTTTTAACTACACATTATGAGCTACTGAGTTGAAATATTCCTTAACGTATTCCAGTTGTTTCGCTGATTAACAAAATTGTAAAACAATAGTTACTGTTTTATGGAATGCGTTCAGGTAGGACTGGTCTATTTATAGGTTTTTGAGGAAAAGTAGATAATATTCGTTGTAATAAACTGTAAGAGATTATTGATATTTAACACTACGAACTACAATTTACACATTTTATTCGAAAATGTTACCTTTCAGATTAGTTTAGTATAAACATATTTGTCCTACTGTTTTTATGCAATATAATGTTAAATATAACATTAAATAATTCACAATTAGTTTTACAAAGTTGTTTTAATTTAACTGGTACAGTTGTAAATTAAACCTTCTGAAGTGTAAAAATACTTTAGATTTGAAGTGCAAGGAAACAAACATTTACAAAACAAAACGTGACTTATTCTTTATATGAATTTTAGTTTTATTTAGAGTTTATTAAATGGCGTTCTTCCGTGTTGATCTTTCTAAAAAAAGATTCTGCATTGGAAACATTCTGATACTAGGAGCGCTTGAGACTGCTAACTGTTTTGCATAGAAACTTCTTGTTTCAAACACTTTATTTGATTACTACAGAAAAATGAAGATGACAAAAGGAAGGTAATAAAATCAATCTATGAGAGTACTTTAGCATTGGAAAACAAGACATTAAGGATTCTAGTGGTTGGACCTACAGGTTCCGGAAAATCAAGCTTCATTGACTCAATAGCATCTGCCCTTTGTAATGAAATTACTTTCAAAGCAGTGGGAATCGGGTCAGCATGTGCAATGTCGGACAATGTTACATCTGCAACGCAGAAGGTGGTTGTTTGATACATTTAATTGAATTAAGATTTCTAAATAATATAGAAAATACAATATTCCATTCATACCTTATTACAACACGTAAAATATTGCAAATTATTCTATCAATCATATAAACTAATTTCCTTTAAGAATCTTTTAGCCCATATTCCTTTTTTGTTAGTATCAGGTCTTTTACATAATTTACAATTTTGTTATCAAAGAGCAAAGCTGATTACGTTATCAGCAATTAAGGCTATGAAGTTAATGTCATTTAATGAACCAATTTTAAGACAACGTTTCATATGACATGTATGACCTCAATAACCATCATTAAATGAAACTTTACCATTCTAATCGGTATTTAAATTTAGTTCGGTTATCTTTTCATCGTACGTCCTAGAACTCCTGGTACCTAGTTATTTATTTGCTGCAAGCAATTACATCGGTTGTTTTATAATATGTTGCTTTATGCTTTTAAATAGAAAATCGATGTAAATGTAAAGCAGAATTTTCTTCTATAATTTTAAAGCATTCTTTATTTCAGTTTAAATTGCATGATATGGAATGCTTAGATGATGGTTATAGAAGAAAGAGCAGAGTATGTTTTGGGGATACCCCTGGCTTTCAGGACATGGATGGAATAACAGAAGATAATGTCAAGCGCATTATCGAAGGGAACGTCCCGGATAAATACAATGTTCAAATTTATATTTACGTCTTTATTTTTTAATTGTTTATATATATTTAAAATGTACATGTATTTCTTTATGCAAAGTGATCTACGAAACAAGTTTTAATGATTATGTTATTCAATCATATTATTATGCAATCAATCAAAATCTAATTTAGCTTTCTTGTTTTTATGTTTCGTCTCTTTGGTCTCTTTGATAAGCAATGTTTTTGCTGGTTTTTAGGTTTGAGTACAGACAATTACAATTATGTTTAAAAGACATGGCTAGTTTTTGTTTAAGTTGCAATAACACTACGGAGATTTTTTGAAGACTTTCCTGCTTTACCGGAGGAGGAATATTGAATTTCCATATTATTTCTGTCACGAACGACCACCTGAGTATAACCTCTAATGTTCCGTTATCTTGCTCGATAAGTTCATCACATGAAATATTCACAGTCCATGGTGGAACTCGAATTCGAAATTGTGAGAAAGTCATCTATAGTTTTATAAGAGAAGTTTCTAAATGATTTAAACCACATGCGCCCATATTGCATCAATATCGATATCTATTTCTGTTTCAGATCATAAATGGTATTCAAAAAACGCAAAGGGAAAATATAAACGAACTACCACCCTGTGACAAAATACATTGTGTATGTTTTGTTTTTGACTGCATGAGTATTCAAAAGGGTCTGTCAGAAAAGATGACGACGCTCATCAGAAATTTGCATCAATTCATCGACTGTGAAGGTTATAATTTATCAAATTTTTATTTCCCGCTTCTGCTGAAGTTTGTTTACCAATTTACCATTGTTATAGTTAAATGTTGATTTCTGCTAACGCTGGTGCTTAGTTGCAAGGACAGTAGCTTACAATTCCCATTAGGTTCAATCAAACCGAGACTGCAATACTAAATTTTGCCGTTTTGGGCGTTCTTTAAATATTTTTTTGCTCATTATTTCATCTTTCAAAACAACATTCACAATTTTATTTCTCAATACGGAAACGATAGTGTAAAAGCATTATTAAAATTGATAGATAAGTTATTTTGAACAATTTTGACAAATGTTTTCAATAGACATTTAACTTGTTTGCGATTGTGAGATGAATCAAATTTCGATGTTTACCTGTTACAGAGTGTCCGCTGGTAGTGGTCTTGACAAAGTGTGACGAAGTCAGCGAACTTTTGCGGACAGAGAAACGTCGTGTATTTACAGACAAGGCAGTAAAGAAATGCAAACAAGAACTGTTTGAACGGTTTCGATTTAAACAACAACTCCTCTTTCCGGTTGTCAATTACGTTAATGAAAATAATGTTGATCTACAAGCCGATGCACTTCTGTTAGGTTGTTATGTTTTTGCTTTATAAAATCTCTTTTTTCAATATGTTTATGTCACGTGTCCGAAATGTATCAGGCCCATTAAAATTATGATTAAGATAAAAACGTTTGAATAAAATCATTTAGTATTAATTTAGAAATAATCTTATGTATATCTTGTTTCGATTGTGTTGATTGTTGTCACCATATATGTGTTTCTTATAAGTTATTACGTCGTTACATCTCAGCTCAAGATCATTAAAAAAATCTAGAACAGTAAATGTTTTGACATTTTTCAACAGTACACACGTAATGAATCAATAAAAAAATCTTTTAACACAAACACAAAGTTTCAAATACGCTTCCCGGGAACACGGCAATGGTTTTGGGAGATCAACTGAAGAGAATTTGGGTTGGAAGACAATGTTTAAGCATATCTATTTTTATTGCAGTAGTAGGCGTGGGGAACGCAGGGAACGTGTAACAGTATCGCGATTTGTGGTTACAGAATAGAGTTTTCAAGATTGGCAGAGAGGTAGGTATATTTTGTTTCAGCATATACTATCAAGTTGCCCTATATTCTGGAATCATTTCATTACAAGCCAAACACAAACATACATTTAAGAAACCAATCTACTTGATAGAATGTGCAGAAATACGACTCGTCGCTAACTTGGAAATTCTTTACTGTAACCACAAAGCGCGATACTGTAACAAGTTCTCTTTGGTTGGATGCCAGGCCAGACTTTGTAAGCGATAGTACTTGCCAAAGGACGTATTAAACATGTTAACCATTTAAATGAAATAGCGCGTAATACACCGTCATAAGTCTTGAAAATGGACCGTATTCGACGGGAAATAGGTGTTTTCCTCGGCATGTGAAATTTTGCACACATTATGCACCGTTTTGTCACAACTTTTCGCACAGATGCACAATTAAGCTGATTTTAGTTGTAACCATTCAAGGGCTTGGCAGAAGGTGAAAAACGTAAGAGATTCGATCCAAAATAATCGGACGCGGGAGCAACATAGATGCATTTCTGATAGAGCGCAATGTGTGAACCTTAGTGCGCTTTAAAAGATCCCCTTCTTTACTTCTACAGATCGTTAAATACGCAAAAAACTGTGGTGAAACTAAACACAACTTAATAAAAGTTAAACCAGTGGTGAAACATAGTGCATAATCCCATGTTGCACTGTATTTTTGGGTAACGGGACTGTCTTGGCTGCCGGAAAACATATTAAGTGCATCTTTGGCGATTCTCTTTTTCCACTCCTTTTCAATAGAGACACCGTAAAAACCATTTAGAAACTTTGCACAACATAACAACCTTTGGTAGTGAGAATACTAGTAATTGCCAATATTTCGTACTGCAAATACGTAACGGCTTGTTTTGATTGCACTGGTCGCCGGGCACAAAGTGTAATTTAAAATTAGTGCAACAGAAGAAAACTCAATTTAAAAAACAAATGAATTGTTGTAGATACGCAAACAAAACTGATTCATCAAATTTATTAACAAAAAATCTATGACCAGTATATAAAATTGATATATCTATTTCAGCTGCATTAATGGAGATGATTAAACTCGGGAAAAGAAGATTGGAAAAACTTGAAGAAAGCGCTGGCTATCAAAGTTATTAAGCTCTATTAGCAGGACATCTTTTCCTATTGGAAACCCCGCAGTTGTTGTCATTTGAAACGTTATTAATAAGAAAGACTATTGTTTATTTTCATATTTGCAGTATATCTTTGGTTTTATCAATATAAAAATGTCAGTGATTACCTTTCGTATTGATAATATATCAGTTGTGTAACGTGTTTAAGAGGAAAACTGCTTTTAGAGCCAGGTGACTGCAGCTGCAAGTCGATTGCTTTACTTTGACGGAATTTAAGCCAGGTGTACGTGGATACCTGACTACCAGAAATGATAGTTTAACATATCAGGGTTGACATATACCCGATTTTATTTTCCTTCTTTAGAAAATTTGATATGTGTATGTATTCAAAAATAGAATATTGTCATTTCACTGAACAAAATAGGCCATACCAATTAAGATACCAATTTGTTTTCTCTTTCTAGATGATTGCTTTTGAAATTGTTTGTTAGCTCGTACTTGAATATTTGAGTGGTTATCCATGAACTCACAAATACTTATGGTCCTATAAACCACGACTGTTCATTTCTGACATTTCAGTATAATCAGATGCTTTACAGGCATGCAATAAAATCCAGTATCTATTTAACTGTGTATTTCTTTTCACATTCATCGTATTATTTTACTAAAAAGATCACTCCCTGTAGTCTTGACTTTACGAATATATTTACTATTGTAACTTATTTTAAAAAGTAACAGACCTTTTTGTCATTAAAAATAGACATGTATAAATAAAGGATGTATATAAACCATTGGCAGAAGATATTTTACGAAACCATAATTATTTGATTATTCAATGCTTGTATTTCATTGAAACTGAGATATACCAAAAGTTTAATTAAAATGTTTTTAAATGAAATTCTATCAATAATATTATAGTTTTGTCATGTTTTGACAGAGTATTGCAAGGCTTCTTTTGTAAATCATTGATGCACTGTTATTTATATATATCTATTTTCTAATGATATAGGCCAAATTATATGTTGCTTCTTTAAAATGTAGAACAACTTTTTACTGACATTGTTATTTGATTTAAAGTATTCAATTATTAAATTTTGTAAATGTTACACCTAATTTAAAAACGAAACTATTTCATCAGCACAGCAACCACACATGACTACATTTCATTTTTCAAGTGTATGTTGATAAATCAAACGTCCACATGGCATGTATTTAAATCAGAACAACAGGCAATGTGTGCTGTTTCATTGCCTGATGTACTATGAGACTTTCTTGACAAGGCCCACGTTTTGTTTGATAGTATACAATTTTTCTAAACATTATCATGTTTATATCATATCATATACTGTAATACTTATTATATGATTGTAATATAGAATATTATAAAGTATAGTATGATTTATTTACTTTTTCAATTTTTGAATGATGTTTTTTTTATCTTAACCAATACATTACCTGGAACATACTTTATACTTTCGGACTTTCATGCAATTGAAACGTTCCATATGAAGTGTGCATGACCTTGTTTAGACCCAGTAGAAGTAAAATTAATTTACAGAGGGAGATATTTCTTTATTTAACACATCCATTGTTTGCCATTTTGACCGAACTTTATTTCTTCAAGTATAGAAAGGATTTGACATGAATTTTTGAACTCTGACAATGCCAAGAAGACTTTATTTGGTACGATATGCATTTTATCTGGATTTGTTTGGACTTGGACAAGAAAGCAAGCTTATTTACCATATTTAATCAAATGATGATATCTATCGGAACATCACGTGGTTCAAATGCGAAAAGTGTATTGATAGTATGCAATAAAGTAATATATTGTATTCTATTATGTAAAAATTGACATAAAACGTTACAGTCTTATTGAAATATTGAATCACTTTATATTTTAAATTGTCATTATTATAAATGTGCCATTACAGAAACTACTACTCGTGGTCGCTACTGTTTTTTAAGGAATATGTAAATTTTTAAAGAAAAATAATTATTTTTTAATAGAATCTGATGACATTTAAACAAACGTCAAAAAAGTCATATCAAAAGCTATATCCATTACACTTACTAGAAAAACAATGAATGTCACAATCATTACACAGGTTGTTTCCTATCAAAAAGTAAAAAGTCTTTACCTTTTTGAATGTGGGTCCTGACCTTTTTATTGAATATCCGGTGAGGATATATGCGGATATATATAATTTATTTAAGTTTCTTTCTCAATCGAAAAGCCATCCATTTATAGGTTGAATTATAATTATAAGAAAAAGAGATCATGTCCTCTGTGAAAGTCAGTTTAATATATTATGATACCTAACAAACCCTAATGTTTATATGCTAAATAACTTTTTATCTTTAACTGACTGATCAACTAATTGATTGTTTATGACCCTATTTAAAAGATTGGAGCATACTGTATTGTCCGTTCGCACGTCTTTCTAATTGTGATTAAATCAATAATTTGATACATTTTACTAGGAGGGGACATCGTCCACGTCCCACAAATATTGTGTTCGAGGTCATAAGATTAAGGGCAACTTGAAACTAATTATAATCTATGTCCGAATAATAACTTAAGACAGAATAAGCTATGTGTTATGTATCTCAATTCTTGCTACTAAAGCTGGCATAATCATTTGACCTTCAATTCATTAGAAGATTTTGGAATTTTTCTTCTTTACAATTTAAACAATGATTTTAGCAGTAGATTCGAAATGGAATAAGCCGTTGTTTATGAAACTGTATAGTGGTATTGTCCATGCCTAGTAGGAGACTCCAAATGAGATTTAGGGCATTAGATTAAAGGTCAGGGTCACAGTGGAACTTTGTGAAACATTCTTGAATGATACGGTAAAGTACTTGAGAAAAAATATATTTGTAAATTTTGGCAGGGTTAATGCCATGACCAGTAGATAACCCTTTTCGTTTTGAGGTAACTAGGTTAAGTATTAGTGACAATTTATTCTAATCAATTACGAGTTTCCTAGGTTATAGGTTTGTGATGTATATTTCTTATAATATTGTTAACTTATTGCTTTAATTAAACAGTTGAATTTTATTAAATATGCATAAGTAAGTTACATTTCAAACATAGTGGTCAAATAGTGGTCGTAGAAACGCAGCGTCCAAGTTAACTGTACAAATGCCACTGTGAGTGGCAAATTAAGTTGAGGCATTATTAGCCTATGGACACATTTAGTATTCTATATAGATTAAATTAATAATACAATTTAAATTTCACAAAAAAATAGAGTATCATTCATAATTTATAAGACAGCTAATTTACACATGAGATAAATAATATTTAATGATCGTAGGTCATCACAATAATTATTGTCCGATAGTATCAACCTGCTCATTATGCATACATTTCCCAGCGGCTGATTGTAACAATTTTAACCATATCACAAAAATATGAAAATTGTTATTACCATAAAGCGAAATTCATTGTTTCTTACATTTTATCGAATTTACAGCAATTTAATGTCTTTTTATTTAGGACGGATATCAAGGCATAATATATGTAATAAATTGTCAGCTTGTGCTTGGGGTGCGTCACTAATGTTCATACACAATGTGTGCAATGTTCACATTTAAACTCTGGAGACACGCTGTTGCATTTTTAAAGAAAATAATAATTTGGCTTTATTTAAAAAGAAAATATGTGATATTTTTAATGACATTCTCAGATCAAGGGAAGTATAGAAATTGGAGAGGGAAGCTGAACATTGACCCAAAATACATATGAAAAAGCTTTTTATTTATGTTATTTCATACGCTGATAAACTGTTATTTGTGATAACTGTTTCATTATGAAATAGTTAGCTGAATTTTTAAGGACATTGAAAATATATATCAATGTGAATTGATGACTCACTCCAGCATTAAAAATGGATTACAATGTATTTATTGACTAAGATCAGAATAATGCACATATTGATTCATATTATTATGATGATAATGATTGTAAGTTTATTACGCGTACAGATCATTTTCTAATTTACCTCGTGATTTTTGTGTTTGGTAAACAATACTGTGCTTCAAAGCATCTGCTTTTAAGTAAAACAAATATCATATATGTATGCAGCCGATTAATACTTTTATTCACATCTAGAAATACCTTACGCGAGTAACTTCATGTTAAATATGGCTGGTTAACGCTCAATAAAAGTGATGGGCTTCCGAGGGATCACCCTTTGTCCAGATTATACATAAAGGCTCGAGCAAAACTAAGAAAATCTGCTATAATAATTGTTTATAATGATATTTGTAACCTTCAGGCTTCATAACCTCAGATCTCCTTTCAAAATTCCATTTTATTTAGTTCCGCCCATTGTTTTCTCGTTTAGGGCACACGCTTTCTATTACTTGGGGACCATACGCCGCTTTTCATGGAATGGCACGGAAGTGTCATGTTGAAGGTTCCATGATAACCGCCGTATGAACACATATGGGGATGTTTCTAAATTCAAAATTTTACCATTTCATGTTTAAATGTTGAATTCTGCTTAAGCCGGTGCTAGGGGGCGTGGACGGTAGTTGCACTTTACAGTACCGTCCATGAACAGGCTCAATCAAACCGAGCCTGCAACATTTTCAATTATGTTGTGTTGGACTTTCTTTAGGGATTCTTATTTTCTCTATTGTAATATTCCTGGCAACAGCGACGTATCTAATGCAACTGTTTCCTGTTGGGTTCATAATTTCAAAACTTGGAACGGGAAAATCAAAGATGGCTGTAAAAATGATAAAAACCGCCCATCTTTACTAACAATAACATTCACGAAGTAAACTTATCATTGACAAAAATGCCTAACTTTCACTTACCCAGATAGCCCATGCCACAGGGATATCAAAAAGGTCAACGTATTCTATTATGAAGAATCACTTGAAAATAAGACGAATAACTGCCACATGGATACAAATTTTGCTAACATTTGACCGAAACAAGCAGCGAGTTTACTATGCCCGGAAATTGCTGAAAATGTTTCCATGCAATGTCTCTATTATTGCTACTAGTGATAATTGAATTTTTTGAAAAAAAAAAAAGAAAAAAAAAACTACAAAAAAAAACAACCACTGACTGTTCTCAGATATCTACATTTTTTCTCTATGCATGACACCCTGGGACCACCTTTTCCTTACCAGAAAGAAACACCTTGCAGGTCATCGCTACAGGAGTAGGAATGAGTCAGCCATCTTTCAGTTATCAAAAGGTATACCGATAGAGAACTATGTTGAAGCATTTAAAATGAGATAAAATGCCTAAATTTTTGTATTTCTGCAAGAGGAAATTATTTTGAATATTTGTTGTTGTTTTTGTTTTGTTAAATTAGGATGCGCCTTTACTTTTAGAATACAATTCAGGTCATTGCGCAAAACACAACGTCTCATTGGTACATAGTTATTTCATAATCCATTCATAATTCTAAGGTACAGGGACAGCCCAGACAAGGAAAATCTACCCATATTTGATATTTCCTTCTGCTGTTGAATTTCATAGGGCAATTTATTTAAGAAGCTGTAAATTTTAGGCTAAGCAAGAATGCACTCATTTTAAAGATCCTGTAACAATTTTTTCATGATTTTATTTCATAAATATGATCCTCAAATTAAGATTTGTCAACATTGTAAGTTCCAATAAGCATTATTTATAAAGATATTACCCAATTTAACATTTCATGTAAATAAAGGGGGGTAATTAGAAATTTATTTTCTATAAATTCTAAGTCAAATTTTCCAATAAGAAATAAATGCATGTAATTTATTGATTAAATATAATGTGCACTAATATTTGCAGTACACATTTTACATATTCTTTGATGTTTGAAAATTGTTTTCTTTGCATAATTATATACATATATAAATTTTTGTGGTATACACACAGTAACAATATCGATCACAAAACATACAGGATCTTTAAACATTAGACCCCTTGTTATAAACCTGTATTACTTTATTACTAATACGTTTATCGAGAATCGTAATATTGTAGTATAAGTACACGTCTTTCAAGTACCTTTGTTGTAATATATAAACATACCGTAAACAGGATGTGACGTCTACAACCTAACGCATAAATAGCGGTAGACCTCACGTGCATAAGAGCGCTAATATACATATCTTGACAACGTTTTCAGATGATCATAATTGAAAACCCTAATATTTGTTATATTTAGGAAAAAGATATCAATTCTGAGTGCATTGTTGTAGAATAATGCACGGTTTGAGTTCAAATGCGTAGTAATATAATCACGAAGGCCGATAGGCGTGAGTGATAAATTACAAGGCATTTGAACGAAAAACCGTGCATTATTATACTATAATGCACGATTAATTAATATCTATTTTCATTCTAACACGTCAAGAGAAAATAAAACAATTATTATATAGTTGGACCTTATGTTTAGTGGTTAAATATGTTTTCGCCCTAGAGTTGCCAGTTACTGTAGAAGCGTTCTTTAAAGGCTATTCCAGTGGGTTGAAAAAAAAACAAAAAAACCTGTCGTTAAATCTACCGTTTGTAGAACTTTTTTAAAAATAACGAATTTTGAAAACGTTGATAAAACTTTGTTTATTTTATTCCACTTTATATTTGTCAAGCGAAATACAAAGTATTAGTAGTGAAATAAATACGAAATTTAACTGGTTTGTGACATTGAAATATTGTTCTTCATTTGATTGTTTTGCACGTGCTGTTTGTCGCAACATTGTGCGTCATGAAAACAACACTTTAAACGTCTGTACAGCGTTAATGACTGAATTAAAGATGTTGGCGTTCGGATTCATTTTCTTAGTTAGACCAATTTCTTTCATTCTAGATAGTTTTCACAACAAAATTCGACAAAAATGTTTTTATTTATCAGATTTTTCAAACAAAATGGCGCAGTCAAAGAGTCGGTTTGAAAATACACAGGGAGTTAATAAGAAAGATGAGTACATTGTTGTAGAATATACACGTTTCGGGTCTTCTTTCTTTATATAGAAAAACATCCGATAGTATTAGAATGTTCAATAAATACTGGAATTGGTTACATATCAGAATAGTAAAATATCTAATTTGACATAAAGATTGATATCTTTTCAAATAATGTATATTCAGCACAACTATAGTCCGAGGTGGTATCTCCTTTATGTAATTCATTACCTTAAACATTTTATTACTTAAACTAACATAAAAATCACAATATGTGTTGATGAAATAAAATTACAGATCAGACATTAAGTATACAGTAATTTGATTGCTTTCCCAACTTCACTTTCCATCTTTTTTTAACAAATTGACTTAAATCTTAAGAGTTATTGTATACTTAAGAAATATCACTGGTATCGAATTTCATTATCATAGTATTGTGTGAGATGCATATCACCTGCGGAAAATAGCACTGCATGTGAACTAATTTCTGAGAAAGGTGTCAGAATTAACAGTGGTATTATGACTTCCATATTAAATAATAAGAGGATATTTTTCGTTTGAGTGAAATATGGAATATATTTCCACGAAACATGATAAAATGCCACATATTTTCACGAGCCGGGACGGCGAGTGAAAATATGAGGCATTTTATCATGTTGAGTGAAAATATAAACCATATTTCACGAAAAACGAAAAAATAACCTTTTTATTTAATTTCATTATCAAAAAAAATGGTTATGAACCCCCTTGCCTGCTACGCAACTGCAATTATACAGCGCGCAGTAATATAAGTATCGTCTTGTTTTGCACGCGATATTTAGCGCTAGATTGTGACGTCACGTAAACAACTTTTTTAACGTCTGTACAGCGTTAATGACTGAATTAAAGATATTGGTGTTCGGATTTTATTTTCTTAGTTAGACCATTTTCTATCATTCTAGATAGTTTTCAAAACAAAATTCAACAAAAAAGTTGTTTGTATTTATCAGATATTTCAAACAAAATGGCGAAAGAAGTCCCTTAAAATAAATATGAGTTTTGACTGCGCCCACTTTCATATTTATATTTCATATTTATTTTTAAAAAATATGAAATATATTTGACTGATATAGCACCATATTTCATAGGTAAAAATAAATAATAGCTCACACTAAAGACGCTAAAGATAGTTTTGGTCAAATGGGCATTTTCTTGAAACTGTAATAGGACACCAAGAATGAACATATTTTGAAAAATATTATGTCATTAGTCAAAGATATTTGTAATGCAAAGATCCGTAAATGACATATTGAGGGTACATTAAAGATAAAAGAATGAGTCATATCCAGTTCTTAAGTACTCGAATAACAAATATTATATGAGTGTTTCAGTGTAAGTTTATTTTTACTCGAAGTCATCATTCAAAATCATTTATCATAATTCAGTAATTATCAAGAAATATTCCAACGTGCTTCAAAATGAAGATTCAAATCATTCAAAATATACATTTTCAACACAATGAATGTGTTTAAAAACGGTTATTTATAAAGCTATAACCATAGAATCGATACGGCGATTCAATCTGTACCAACCACCATCCCACAACCATTGCCTAAATTCTGATTATACAATGGTGACATGAAACATGATTTCCTTTATACTATTCCTTCCTTTACATAAGAGTATGGCTATACCTAAAACTGTTTAAATATAAAACAACAACTAGTTGCAATACAAATTCTGTATTTGAGTAAGCGTCTAGACAGTCAGATGAACAAAAAAGAACGGGCATGTTTTATTTATATATTGTGGACCAACTTATATTTCAAAATGCATATTAAATGAAAATTATTAACATTACACAATGAATTAATGGAAGTGAACAAATTGTCTATAACATAATTCAAATTCACAAGCCGAGATTAAAGACACTGACAAACGCTCATGAACGCTGTCTTTAATGTACATATCCTTAGCACCTTCACTAACCCATCGTCCGTGTCTCTTAAAAATCCTGTCTTTAATAGTCCTTTCCCATAACTAAGTTGCCTCCCTTGACGAGTTATCGTTCTTTGTTCCGTATGCGCATGCTCAGAATTTTTTTTCACGTCCGGGGACTATTTGTTTACCTTGTTCACACTCGACTGAGTAGCTCACAAATTAGCTGATAAAAAATGAAACCGAAGAAGAAATCATTGAAATACTGCTGTGTTTGTAAGGGAATCTATCGTGACGGCAGAACTGTGTCCCTGCATCGTTTTCCTCTGAATAAACGTACTAAACGTGTGTGGGTTCAACGATGTCGGACGGTATTGAAAAGTTTTTAGTGGAATGAAAACCGACTACTATGTAGTGAACATTTTGTTGAGCGCAGAGGACCGTCCATGTTACATACTCTACCTACAATATTTCCAATTGCTTCTGGAACTGACAAAACTTTCCAACCTCGGTAGGCTACGTTCATTCATTTTTTATCGTGAGCGACATAAGACTTTAAAAAATAGTAAAAATTACGTAAAGTTTCGGTAATTTTGTTCCCTTTAGAAAAGTTATACGGGTTTATTTATCATATAAAGCATAAAGTCTCCTCCAGTTTACAGATAAATGGATAAAAGGCAGTTAAGCCCAAAGGCAGTTTTCTACCCTTCATAAAAATCCGACACTTGTAAATAATTAAAAAAATATAAGTGTAAAGCACTCTACTGTAACCATGTTTGCAATTTTGTTATATAAACGAAACAAATGTTACATGTTAATTAGCTACTACTATATTATTCAAACTTAAATGCCATGTAAGTGCGTAATATTTTGTTTATTATTTTTTAAAGTCTGAATGAGAATGAGCAAGATGAGATTGAGCATGAAACCCTTTACACTGCAACACCGGTTGACATGGATCTTATGAATCTCCAAGCAGAATGTGAAGTCCAGACAAAATGTGAAGAACCTGGTCCTTTCATTCAGGAATGCAGCCAGTCATATCTTGATGTGTCGCTGAATTTCCATGACTACACATGTGAACCAGTACCAACACCAAGTGCAGTAAGGTAAAACAAAACAAGTTGTTTTCATGATTTCTTTATGACTTGGAAACAGAATTATACAGAACTTTTCCCTTTATTGACAGTTTATTGATGAAATCGGTTTCCCAACTTTCCCAAGTTGTATTTGTTACCATATTAAAACAGCATGCACTGTAAAAAAAGTATAGAAATCATTGAGTCTGTCTTGATATAGAACTGCTCATTAATTAGGGGACATGTATAAATGACAGTTTAGCTCAATCTGTAGGCTAAGCAATGGAAAACTGTATTTGGAAGGTCCGGGGTACATTCACAATCATACTACTCATATGTAAAGTGAGTAAAGAGAGCTCTTACAATTGTTATGCATAAAATCTTTATTCAAATAGCTACTTGTTTAATCATTCATTTTCTTTTATTGCAACAGAATTTCGAATAAAAAAGAAATACATTGTTTCTGCAGCTTTAAGTATCACTTGTTCAACTTTACATTATATTGTCTACATTTCTGGATGATTGAAACACAGACATACACACAGATGGTGACAACAAGCACACAGACCGAGTCAGTGCGGACTTGTCGCAGACTGACACAGACACAGACTGAGGTGGTATTGAAAGACACCGCAGAACGGACAGTGTTACCCTTTTTAGTGTACGAAGATGTAATGGAAATCCTTCAAAGTTAAACTTTAATACAGGTATTCCAAATGAAGGGACATTTAATGCGTTTTTCGAGGAAATGACAGATGTGCGAAAGCAGTCCAAAACAGCAAGTGGGGGCCGTCCGAATTCTCTTCGACTTATTGATGAATTTTTCATGTTCTTGATGAGATTGAGATTAGGTCTGTTAGTTGATGATTTAGCTGCCAGATTTTGTATTTCATCTAATGCTTGCAGTAGATTACTTAACAAATGGATTGACTATTTAGATGTAAAGTTAAACTTTTTAATAATGTGGCCATCAAAACAGGTAGTGAAAGCAAATATGCCAAAACTTTTTAGAGACAAATTTCCAGACACCAGGGTCATTATTGACTGCACAGAGATAAAAACTGAAACACCGAGTTCATTGCAGTTGAATTCCATGATGTACAGCGATTACAAATCACACAATACGTGGAAATCTCTAAATGGGATTAGTCCTTCTGGCCAAGTAACTTTTGTGTCAGACTTATGGGTTGGGTCAATTAGTGACAAACAATTAACAAAACAATCTGGAATTATTAACTTGTGCGAAGAGGGTGATGCAATCATGGCAGACAGAGCTTTTACCATTTCGGACTTAACAGCACCAAAGGGAATCAAACTTATTATACCACCTTTTAAACGTTCGAATTGTAAATTTTCGAAGAGGGAAGTTCAACAAACCAGAGATATTGCCAATGCAAGGATTCATGTCGAAAGGCAGATTGAACGGATATTATTTGCTTTATTTGCTGCAGCACTCGCTGCTCCTGAACGTAGTGAATGCAAACAATAATTACTAACATTATCAACATGAGATTTTAACACTTCAATAAAATATGTCGTAGATTAGAATACGACATTGCCTTATTTATTTTCCTTCTTCTGTATCCAGTTTTTGTGGCACTTATATTACAGAAGAGAAGATGATCATCCAGAAATTCTCCCCACAATATTAATTTCTGAACATTTGCAACTGGGCATTACTTTGTACCCGTTTTTGCGATCAATACCCAAGCCCCATCTCTGTATTTATCTGTCTTGCTACTTTCAATGAAAACAGACATATAAGTGGAATTAAAGACTATGTCTCTGACACGAATTTTTAAAAGTTCAGAACTTCTTAAGAAACCTGCGTATGCAACCAAAATAGCGCAGATAATTCGTTGACTCTTTATATTATTCTCTACATACATGTATAATCTTCATAAATACTATTAATAATTTCTACATTAATAGGTTCTTTCCTTTAACCGGCTTTGACATAAGTCGTTTACTAGCTTCAAGAACATTTAAAACCAATTTTGATTCTGTAGGCGAAATTAATCCATACATATCGTGAAACCATTTAATAGAATAAAAAGCTGAAACGATGGGGCTTGGCGAATTTACAGTCTGAACAAGAGATACTAGATAAATTGCAACTGTCAGTATTTTAGCAGGCACAGTATCCCTATTCCCCAACCCATTACACAGAGCCCATTTTTGAAAACGTTAAAATGCACCAGTATACCTTTTGTCCGTTCCTTGTGTTCCTGAATTACGCAACAGGTCCGGGAGCAAGTCCACTCATTCCGCCCAAACATCCGGCAGTTCTTCAATATCTTCAGCGTATATCTGCAGAAATAAATGTAAAAAAAGAAAAATGACAATAATATACATCAGCGAAACTCAAATTGTTGCATTGTTATTATTATCTATTGTTATTGTTGTAATTTTTATGTAACAAAAAATGCTATACAGCATTATGTTCTTGTAACAAGCAATACAAAAGGCAATCTCGCCTTATTTATCAGAGGTCTACACAATTTCGTAAACAAATAACAGGCAGACGATAAACCAAAAGGAAGTACTAAAAACTTATAATATATGACATTGTCATCTTTGTCTTTTCCAACTAAAACCCAAATTCTCTGTATGCGGTTCAAATATTTGAACAAAATGATATGCACTTGTTAAATCAAATTTTATCATAAAACACCCTTTTTAATTAAGGAAAGAGCAATTTTATATCTTCATGTTTAACACTTTGCTTCCACAGGTGCTTGTTAACCTCTCTCAGGTCAAGTATAAGACGTTTTTTACCTGAATTTTGAACTGATACGGTAAGAGGGTTAACTACATAGGGAATTTTCGAACATTTTTTTATCAAATGTCTATCAAGTAAATCATTTATCGCCTCAGAGACAAAATCTTGCTCTAATAATGCTGATTTATTATTTTTGCAAATAACATTAACTGGTTGAGAATACAATGGAATCTTATATCTTTCGACAATAATATCTCATATGAAATCATTACAACCAATTTTCTTCCAAAAATCAATATGACTTTTTAATCTGCCCTTAACAATAATATTCTTTTGACCTTGTTCATATTTATGGTATTTATGTGTAAACCTTGAACAATCATACTCATCTTTCATAGAAATGTCTGTATCTTGACGACTACTTCCTTGCTGTGGCTTGCTGTCCGAAACCGGAAGTTACTGATGACTGCGCTCGTGGACAATTTCTTCAGAAGTGGGTGTTATCTCCGCAATGAAATGGCCCCGGGGTGACAGGGCCGCCGTAGAAGCCGCTTCCGGTACCATAAGCGAAGCTGGAGCCGTATCCGTATGGCAAGACTGGAACAAATGAGGGACGAAAATTACGTCCCCGGCCCGACATCCCGCTTTGTACTGAAGAATATGGCTGCTGAAAACTAGGACCAACAGGACGCACAATGCCCCGTGCGTCACGCCGTTTGGTGGAAGAACTTGTACGTTTAAGTGTACGATTTTCCGTTTTATTGAGCTTCAACGTCGCTATCGCTAGCTACAAGGTTGCACTTATACTGACACACCGTATCCCACCAAGCAGGGGAACTATCTGCTATCCTTCTCAGCCAACTCTTTCAGCTGGTCACCACAATATTCAAATTTGCCGTGTTCAATAGCCCACGAGGCCTGCTTCACAATGTCTGCAAGTTCACTGTTGAATCGGTACTGCTGCTTATTACCTTCGAACTTCCACTTTATCTCCAGCTTTTAAATGTTTTACTTCTGAAGAAACAGAAACGTTGTTATTGTGTACTTCTTTATTCAAACTAGAAAGCTCCGACAATATCACATAAAACTGTTCATGTGTACCTGTATTACTCATACTGGAACTGTTAGTTTCATCGCCCGAAGCCATATCACGTTGTAAACAAAACCGGTTACAGGTCAGTCTGACTATCCAAAGCTGAATGACTATTGAATTGATAATTTTGCACGTGCAAAAATTATACGAATAGCGACACTTAGCGGTCACTCATTACATTCAGGGAAATTAATTTTCTTCTTATTCGCTACTCTCAAACAAAGAAAATTATATTACTTTGTGAAATGATTTAGAACGCCCGATAATGTGTTAGTTTAATTGGCTAAATTACTTTCAAAAAATCCAAAGTAAAAGTCATAAACATACTACTGAAAACAAAATATGCTTTTATTTTTTGATGATGATGTTGATGAATATTATGTTATTTCTATGGTTTTAAAAAGAAATACTTTGTCTATATTTATTATTGTCATCCATAATTCTGCAACTTTTATATACAGTCTGCATTTTACCGTCTCTCCTGGGGAGGCCCCTTTGATGCACAGTACATTTCCTAATATTAAATATGCATTCCTATATAACACTGTGGAATGATTTGATAAATGAATAAATATCAAATGCATTGGACAATTTTATAATGTTTTATCTTTAAACATTTAATTCACATAAATGTGAACACAACACGATATTTCTGTCAAAATGGACCCTAATTAGGCATACAAGATAAACGTAAAATCTCAATAGCCCGTTGAAGAGTATGCGTGAAGCAATATATTCGGTCCTACAAATTTGCTGTTTAATGGATGCAAGGACTTTGGCTGCTTAACAAAGTGGCGGAACAGATAATGCATTGTCCGCAGTATTTAAAAAGATGTCTCATTTATTTAGAGAAATAATTGTAGTAGAACCTACATTTTGGTAATCATTGCCAAAAAGCCCTTCGGATAAACAAACACATTTGCGATAAGTTATATCACCATGGAAGATTAAACCTGATATATTTATTTTAGTTTCAGAATCAACCAATTCGGCTTAAAAACGTTATAATATCATACGAATTTGTGTAAACAAAAGTTTATGAAATTTAAATATTGTCTCCCATCAAGTAACATCAACCGATCTTTAATATTTCTGAGCTATGACTGGGTTAATATTGAATAAATCTTGTGCAATACACAGGTAAAAATGCACCACATGCTTGTTGTATGTTTGGTACACCATATGTTTTCGACATGTAAAACATATGTGTTTCATATGTTTTGAAAAACATGTGTTTAAGAACATTTGTTTTTCATACGTAAAATAACATATGTTAAACAGGACCATATGAAAAACATGTGTCAACAAACATATGTTAAACTCATGGTTATCACATGTTTTTATGAATAAGTTTACATAATAAAATTATGTTAAATATACGTGAACTTTCATGTGTTTTTCATATGATAAATTTATGATCATATATTCTGCAAGATTTACACTTTGGAAGTCTTTAATCTTTAAGATTTATTAATTTTGTAAGTTCCAAAAAGCATTATTTATTAAAAAATATTACCGAATTTTACATTTCATGTAATAAAGAGAGGTAATAAAAAGTTTAGTTTTTATAAAATTTAAGTCAAATTTTTCAATAAGAAATGAATGTATATATTTTAATGATTACAAATAATATTCGCAGTACATATTCTTCGATGTTTGAAAATTGCTTTATAAGGATAATTATATACATATATAATTTCACTTAAGTGTGGAATTGAACACTTAACACTTATTAAATTCTTATGAATTATCAAGTTCAAGCAAACCAAACACTGGAACACAATTTACCATTTGTAATGAAATCATGATTCATGTGAATCCATATGTTAAAAAAGTCTGTACCATAAATGTAACATACAGTGTCCTTTTCTTGTAGAAACACTGTATCCTACCATATGAAAAACATATGTTATTCACGTGTATCCATATGAAATACATATGAAAATACATATGAAAAACATGTGTATGCACCATGTATGCACCGTGTAAAACATATCGGGTACTTTTCTAGGAGATACATATGTTTTTATCATATGTAAAACATGTATTTCCCATACGTTTAACATGCGCTGCATTTTTACCAGAGCAGATCAAGAAAATTTTAAGAAAATTTATAGGCTTGCTTTAACTTATTTTTGTATTTTTACAAAATATTTCACTACTATTCCATCACTTCACAAAGTGGGTTTGTTTTTTTCTTATTCTGTCATATCGAATCTAACATGGTGCAAGCTATAGTCCAAACATTTTTAATAAGTGATAAGTGATGACCTTTTAACTAAAGGTCACCTTAACTTTAAAATAATGTAGATCCTAATTTTCAACTTAATCAGAGCAACGCGTTCCTTAAACAGTTATAAAGAAGACTTGTGATATATAACCAGCAGTTTAAATATCTGGAGAAAAAGTTATCCTTCGGAAGCATAAATCACAACAAAATTACATGGAAAACGAAAAGTCGGTTTAATTGGGTCTGTACACGAGAGGTGATTACAAAGTGCAACAACCCTCTAGCCCCATAGCACCAGCTTAATCGAAACTCAATTTTAAACACTTAAACTTGCTTAAAACAATGATCCCGGAGGATCAGAAAAATATCACAACACTGACAGAAGTGAAGAACTGGCTAACTTTTTACAGCTGCCTCACGGCACTTGACACAAACTGTTGTCAT